GAGTTCGAGGGTCACCACATCGAGAACAATGACATCGAGGAGAACGACGAGGACAAGGAGGAGATGGATGAACTTGAACAATGCATCATGCACCTCCAGGATGACGTTGACGGTGACACGGTCCTGAGCGAAGGTGAAGCCGCCGAGATCCTGTCCACCTACGTCCAGCAGAAGAAGACATACACCCAGTCGCTCAAAAGTAAAAAGGCCAGAGAACTGGCCCGTGGCTACGGAAAGCGACCACCTCCCGGAGGACCTGACCGAGGACCTTTTCGAGATCGACCTCTTCGACCAGGCTCGTACTCGGTCACCATTGCCGAGCTCCAGAAAAGAACCCGGTGTCGCAATTGTCGTCAGATCGGACACTGGAAGAGAGACTGCAAGAATCCACCACAGAAGAACCCTGATCTCAAGACCAACGAAAACCACTACCTTGAGAATACCGATGAGGCCTTCTTCATTGGCCACCTCATGGAAGGCAGTCAGGATTCCGAGCAGGACTCAATGATCATGAATTCCAACGACATGAACTCGGCGCTGAGGTCTTCTACCAGTACTGAGTGGCATGGCCCGCTCACCTCTCTGAGCCCGGACGGTAGGATTTGGCAGCCAAAGGCTGACTATGCCACGGATGCTGAACGCACTTCCGCGTCGGCATATATGGAGAGTGACCGTTTCCGTCCGACCGGTGTTGAACAACTGTTTGTTTTTGAAAACATGTTTTGCAACCTCGTCTCCAAGTCTCCCCAACCTCATGATGTGATGGACGCGACCTGTGCCACTGTTGATACAGGATGTCAACGGCTCGCCATTGGAGCACGCACCCTTCGAGAGTTCGCTCAACATCTCCCTGAACCCCTGAAGATTACCCTCACTCCAGAAACTAACAGGTTCAGGAGCGTGCATCAGACATCAGTCACGACCAAGGTTGCTACCATTCCGTGTTCCTTGGGTAACAAGGGAAGCTTCCTGAAGCCCGCCGTGTTTGAAAACGAGGAAAGCTCTGGTGCGCCCTTCCTCATCTCACTCAGCTTCTTACTTCATTGTCATGGAGAAGTTATTCTCTGTCATGAACAAGGCCTCCAGTTACGACTCCGAGGAACTTCAGAACCAGTACCCCTTCACCTTGGACCAACTGGTGCTTTACGAATTCCACTTCAACAATACAACCAGGTGCAAAAACAAGAACTTGAACGAGAACAGAAATCGATGAACCAGAGTACCTCGGTCGAGTTTGAGGTCTTGAAATTGCAGGACGGCTGCACGGAACCGCCGAAGCTGAGTACAATTCAAGCCTCGAGCCCACTAGCTACTCCGCATCCAGCCGCTTGCCATGCAGACCGCGGGCCAGAAGCGAGTTCGCGCCGGTCCAACTCCCGAGGAAGAGGACTTCCAACAACATCGAGTCCTTCAATCGTGGTTCCGCCTGATGAGGCGCTTCCTCCTGGTGCTCATGCCCCTTCAGCAGATGCTGGAAAGGTTCATGGATCACATGCTCAGTACAAAACCTCACCGGGAGGCCCTGAAGGAGATGATCCGGTCCTTGCCAGACGAGGATCTCCCCATGATCCAGAATGTGGCCCGCCAGGAGATGAATCGACGAGAGGACACCGGCCATCGACCTCCGGCAGACGGATACTGGTCCAACCTCAGCGAGACCAGCACTCATCCAGCTCGTCGACCACGACCTCCTCCAGACCCCGTTCTCACCGAAAGATGCCGGCAGATCAACAGTCTACCAGGTATCGAGATGATCTTGGAACCACGTCCAAGATGCCAGTGTGCCCTTCAGTGCAAGATCCATCTCAGCGACTCGGGTCCAACGGGACACAACTACGAGAAGCTGTACTTCCGCTGCCCCTTGGAGCAGGGACATCAATGCCGATTCGTCAAGTGGTGCGACCAGCAGCCTCTCTTGAGCCTGGAAAGCTGGCGTCACCGGCAACAGCCCGGCGACGAGCCTGTGAGCTACGCCCAGATCTTGGAGGCCATGATTCAAACCAAATGCCAGCACAAGGAAACCCATCGGAAAGGTTCGAACGCCTTCCTCACCAAGGTCACCTGCAGGATCTGCAACAAGGTCATCAAGTCCGAGAAGATCGAAAAGATGGAGGGGACCAAGTCCAAGGCCAGCACGACATCCTCAAGCTCGGTACCACAATCTCGTCAGGGAATCCCCTCACCAGCGACTCCTCAGACCACCTCGGACGGCACCGACCTGGAGCACCTGACCGACTATCAGGAATTTCAAGAATATCTCCGTTGGAAGAACCAACGTCAGCCTCCGAACCGGGAGGACCAATGAAGCAGGTGACTCCGAAGCTGGAACGGAAGCTTCGCGCTGCAATTAAGAAGGCAACGGCTTTTTGGCGAGAGCTTCAGCTGCTCCTGGCCGATATGCCTTTGCAGTGTTGGGCCCAGGCCTTAAATGACGAAATTTGCCAGGAGTTCACCATGAACCCAGCCGGCGCAAAAAGATCTCGCGAAATAGCAGAAGTCATGGGATTGACAGTTAAACAACTAAAGACGGTTGCTGAAGTGTATAACCCTGGTTGTTTTCAGAAGATCACTGGTCGTTTTCACTTGTCTCCCGGCCGTGCTTTCGATTTGATTCTAGGAGATGACTTGCTGTCCACAAACAAACAAAACGAAGTCTGGCAGTATGTTCAAACGACCAAACCAGGACTTGTTTGCATTGCACCACCCTGCAAAATGTACACGCAACTTCAAAACCTTTCTAAGGAGAAACGCGCTCGACTGCCTGATCTCATGAAACGATACTTGAAAAACAAGGCAGAAGGTGATAGGTTACTGACTTTCGCCATCCGGTTGTGCGAATTCTGTGATGACCTTGGGATCAAGTTCATATTTGAGCATCCGCATGCCGCATCATCCTGGAAACATCGTGCCATGGAGCGGCTGCTGGCTCGACCGAATGTCATCTACACGAAGGCTGATCAATGCCAGTATGGACTACAGGGTCAATCTGGCCTTCCTCAAAGAAGGTTCGCAACAAACTCAGAGGCCATATCTCAGGCCCTATGCAAGCTTTGTCCTGGCAACCACGAGCATGAGGTTATCATTGGAGGTAATCGTTCCCAAAGATCACAGGTCTACCCGGAGAAACTCCGAGCAGCCATACTGAAGGCCTACAGCCAGTCCATCAACGTTGCTCATGTTGAAACAGTCAGCTCGGAAAGCATGCTGGCCGAGAACCACAGGCTAAACTACATCATCGACACCGAGTTCAGGGCGCTGAAGAGCCTACAACCAGAAGTACCTGTTGGTCTTACAGAATGCCAAGACCCCGATTTTCGAGTCCCTGACGGCCCAGATTCTCGCCTACCTGAAGTACCGGCCTACGACACCGCCGAGATCTTCGCAAATGGAGAGGATCAAGAAACCCATGAACCAAACGGATCCGGGGACCAAGAGGATGATCTGGAACCACCATACGAAAGGGAACATGAAGAAGGCGAAGCTCAGGAAGTACCTGAACAACAACTACCACTCCATTCACGTTTTCCACTGGAACGCCTTCTGCACCGAGCACATGTTGGTCTGGGACACCCGACCCCAGATCGATTTGTCAGGATCCTTAGGTACGCAAAAGCCAAACCCGAAGTCATCGAGGCTGCCAAGCATCTCCGACGCAGTGTCTGTCAACGACACTCCCAAGTGAAGCCTGCCCGAAGAAGTGCTCCACCGAAGGAACTGGCCTTCAACGAATGCATTGGGGTGGACGTCATCTTCCTGCCAACCCTCGGTAGTCGGTCACGCCCAGCTCTAAACATCATCGACTGGTCCAGCAAGTTTCAACTCATGATCCCCATGGACAACAAGAAACCAGGCCATGTACGAGAGGCCTACAGACATTGGCTACGTCTATTCGGCCCTCCAAAACGAATGGCCCTGGACCTGGGACGTGAATTCCGAGGAGCCTTCGCAGAACAAGCAGAACAAGACGGAACTTTTGTTGACCCCTCGGCAGTTGAGGCTCCACATCACCGAGGCATCACTGAACGTCACGGAAAAACCTTTAAGTACCTCCTCCAGAAGACCATGGACACCTTCAGCTGTGCCAACATGAAGGAGTGGGAGGAAATGGTCGACATCACCATGATGACCAAAAATAGAATGATGAACGTTGGAGGTTTTAGCCCCAGTCAACGGGTGTTAGGCTTCAATCCATTCCTACCCGGAGGTCTTCTTAGTGGAGATGATGGTCACCGAGGACAACAACCAGAAGCCAAAGTCGGCGACCTCAGTGTCGAACGGGCCATGAAGCTTCGAAAGGCTGCTGCGCATGCCTTCATCGAAGCAGATGCCAGCAACTCTCTCCGAAGAGCAGTAGCTTCGGGCCCCCGACCCATCCTGGAGTATGACATCGGCGAGATTGTCTACTTCTTCCGAATGGGAGCTGACAAGAAACTGAAGTTCAAACCATGCTACTGGCACGGGCCGGCAAGAATCATCATGATCGACCAACCTAGCACCATTTGGTTATCATACCAATCTCAACTGGTCAAAGCCAGCCCAGAGAGAATCCGAAGAGCCTCGTTGGAAGAGAACATGGCACTATCTGGATGGTTGGAAGATCTCGTGCAGCTGAAGAAGGACATTGTCACGGAACCGATTCGAGGATTCCTGGACCTGTCCGACCAGCCGCTCCCCGAGATCTTAGACGATGAAGCCAACAATGAGGAGTACACTCCGACCGAACCAGATGAAACTCCAGACCAGAACATTCCAATGGAACCAGCACTACCACCAGGACTACAAGAACCCATGGGCTACCCAAGACCATTGAAACGCTATCGAGAAAAAAGGGCCACAAGATAATTTGGCTGATGATGATGGACAATCTCCCCAACCAGAACCTGATGACGAACGACCAGGAGAACCTCAACGAGATGAAGAGGTCCTACAACCACCCGAACCAGAACAGGAACGAGAAAAGAGATCACATGAAGAAGAAGAGCTGGATGAACATCCCAGCAAAAGATCAAGATTGGAATTCTTAGAAGCCTACCTTCTGAAGGTGGAAAACCTGATCAAGGGAAGACAAAGAAAAGAAGTTCGACTACAAGAACTTAACCACCGCAACCAGAAATGCTTCAAGAATGCCATTGGCAAGGAGATCCAGAATAACATCAACATTGGTGCTTACACCATTGTCAGCCCCGAAGAATCCGCTCGAGTCAGACAAACCATGCCGAACAAAAACATGGAAAGTCGACTGGTCCTCACACCCAAGCCACTGGAACCACACGAAGTGGAAAAGGCCAAAGAAGAAGAAATACTTCTGGATTGGGACACTGATGAACCCTGCAAGGCCAAGGCTCGCCACGTCATGAAAGGCTTCAGTGAAGAGGGGGCTGAGAACATTGAGGCGACCACTCCACAGGTGACTAGAGAAGGCACCCTCACCGTGGCCCAGCTAGTATCCAGCTTTCAGTGGAAATTGGGTTTCCTGGACTTCACTCAGGCATTCCACTCTGGAGATCCAATTGAACGACTTCTGTATGCCACCCAACCAAGAGAAGGCATCCCAGGCATGAATCCTGGCCAGCTACTCAAGCTGGAAAAAGTATGTTATGGCCTGACAGATGGACCACTGGCCTGGTACAATCATCTTCGAAAGTTCCTAGTCGGTGACCTCCTGTACAAACAGTCCCTGGCCGACCCGTGCATCTACTACAAGCTCAAGACCAATCTAGAAACGGGAAA